TCTCTCTCGCTCTCTCTCTCTCTCTATCAACGCGTTCCTGAGATAATATCCTTTCTAATAGCAATGATTAATCGTTACCTTTTGTTTCCCCCCTTTTTTTTCTCTTTCTTCGTATATATTGTCAAAGATGTGAATATGTGTACTTATATATATGTATGTTTGTAAGTGTCTGTATGTATGTGTAGGTATGTGCTTGTATACGTTAACAATAAGAAAAAATGTCCCATGCGCGCCACGATAATCTAAATAAATATAAAAACGAACTACATACACTCATGAGACGCACGGTGATCAAGCTCAAGTACAGGAGAATGTAAAAAATAAAATGTAGAGTAGGAAGATTCTTAACTATAATCGGTTAAAGAACGGACTGGTTTATTGGTTTTTTTTCTTGGTCCGTTGTGCTTGGCCTCCGAGCGACTTTGATCGATTCCGTTGACTATCGATGTTCAAGGTATTGGAAACGTGAATATTTTTTTTTTAAATCTTTTAACTACATCATTGGACAGTTTTGTAAAACGTAAAAACTTCTTATAATTAGCTACAATTAAAAACTTATCTGTCTGTCACAGTTTTTAAGTTGCACAGAGGAATAAGAAATTCTTTTCCTAAATCCGATTCCGATAAAATAATTTCCGAAAATGGAAATTTTCATAAAGATCTGCAGCTTGATTATCTATTTCGCGTACAAGAAAATAATCTAACGTAACACGGTTACATTCGAAAATGTATCTAGAAGAATTACTAAATACTCTTTTAGTATTTACTTGGTTACTAAAATCTGGATCGTTTATCGTCAAATACACCCCCACCGTGAGAACTGATCAATTACTTTTAAATAATTCATGGAACTTTGGAATTCTCTAATTATCGGAAGCGAAGCATAAATGACGAAGAAACTGTCACTGGCAATATCAACGAAACTACATGTACATCCCGTTGACTAACATTTTAGCCTCGGTCGTAGTAAACTCTCTATACAATGATCAAACCACTCTTCTCTGTGTTCCTCTTCATTATCGTAGCCTTAGTTGATTCAAAAAGTGCATAATAGGCGACTCGATCAGGTCACGAATGTAAAAAAGAAGGAAAAAAGTGAAAGAAGACGAAGAATCGAATACGATATAGAAGTCTCATCGTTTGATCGTTCTCGGCGATATCTCTCGCGACCCAGAAATCGCATAGATCTCGCACACGGAGAGATCGTCGCGAAAATAACTCTTCGCGTGCCTATCCTGAAAATGGCCGCGGCATCGTCGACGACGCGCGATCGAATCGCGCGCGAAATGTTGACGAAATCGATACAGGAACGTGTGTTAGTATCCAACAAAGTCGCATACGCATAAATTTTTACAAACTCGTGAACAGTTCCGAGCACACACCGAGAGAATACACTTAATGAGTCTGAGCACTTATAGTCTTACCCTACGTCATCCCATACGATACATATTTTTCACGCGTTTCGTGTACCTATATACGTGTGGGTGTGTATGTGTGTGTCTGTGTGTCTGTGGTAAGAGAGTTTGTATACATATATATATATTTTTTTCTTCTTTTAAGTAACTCCGCAAGTATGCCTAAAATTTCCATTTCCGTTTCGTCCATTTATCCACCCGAGTCTCGAACCGTCTCGGAATTCAACGATCCGATTCAACGAAAACGCGACACACCGGCCCTACCCTTCGGTGAACCCTTTGCCAGCAAAGGAACTTCTTTAACGAGCTCTCTTCTTCGATAACAGGTTGATATTACAAAGAAGACGCGCGCGCGGAAAGGAATAAAACAGAAAACAATTGAAAATGGGCCTACGCTTCCTCTCGCGATTGAGCACGTGGTAAAGACCTATCGACACGTTTTACCGAAAATTTACTTTTCTCCCCGTCTAGTAGTTTGTCTGGCAGTGCTTCG